CAAAGACAACTCTTCTTAGGAAGATGAATTCAATGGGATTGAATTGATAATCATTCTCTAATGCACATCTGTGGTCTGTGAAGACCTAGGTTTATCAAAAATCTATTTTGGTTAGAAGGAAATAGTTAATATTGACTTAAGTCCAGAAAGAGGAAGCAGATATTAAGCTCATTTTGAAAAATAAGAGTTCAATTTAGGGGCAGGCTAGGTAAGCTATTTTGGCTAGAAGGAAAAATTAATATTGACTGACGCAAATCCAGAAGAAGAAAGCAGATATAAAGTTTATTTTGAAAAACAGGAATTCAGTTTGGGGCAGGCTAGGTACCACCCTTTTTGAGATATTTACCAGCAGTGAGAATCACATTTTGCATTCAATTTTAAGGTACTTTTTCATAACCATGGACAGTATTTTATTTAAAGTATGTGTATCTTTATTTCCCTGTTGTGGTTATTTTTTAAAACCAGTTAATTTTCCAAATTCTATTCTGATAGAAGCAGAGTCCTTTTATTTTTTATACAACTTATATTTAACCCTGCTTTTCTTTCTTTCTTTTTTTTTTTTCTTTTTGAGTTGGAGTCTCACTCTGTCGCCCAGACTGGAGTGCAGTGGCTGCTCCCGGCCACCACAGCCTCGACCTGCTGGGCTCCGGCGATCCTTCCGCCTCAGCCTTCCAAGTAGCCGGAATTACAGGCATGCACTACCACGTAACCCTGTCTTTCTTATAAAAGATGCTGCTTTTGTTTTGTTCATCACCGAGGATAAGCTAATGATAACTTAAAAAAAAAATCATTGCTTGTTTAATATTTGGATATTGTCATAGAGATCCATATTGTGGAAGATAAAAGTAAAAGATAAAAACTCCTTAAAAGGTTTTAGTGTATAAACGGTGACCTTCAGCCTGCCAGCCTTAATGGTACTCTTAGGGTCTTTAAATAGCCTTAACTAGCTACATAACTCAAGAATCTTGCTCTGAAATCTGTTGATGTGTTAAGAATCCTACTTTACCTCTTAAGTGTTCTCTCCTTTTATCTCATTTTGCTATTTTCTGAAGGGTTGCCAGGAACGCTGGATGAAGCCTATCCTGTAGCTACCTTTGTTGAGGGGTTAACTGGGTCAGGGTTCCTGGTTTAAGAAAAATCACACAGATTAGACTTCAATTTACCCAAATGTAACCTGGAAGATAAGTAAGGCCTGTCCTGAATTTTAATCTCAAAGACAGTGTTCGTTCAAAGAACATTCAGTATTGTGGAAAAAGCACACACCGTGAGGCCAGATCACCAGGAATCACATTCCAGCTCTGAACTTGAACTTTCTTATCTGCACAAATGCAGCATGGCTGTGAGAAAGGGCAGGGATTTGATGAAGCCCCTGACCCGTGGGTGGCAGGTCTAATAAGGAATAGCTACAAACACACACACTTTTTGTACTTACGTACCATTTTTGCATGGGTTGCCAGTGTTTTTGAGGTGTTACTCAAGGAAACTTTGTGTAGACCAGGTCCTGGAGTGTTTCCCCAATATTTTCTTCTCATAGTTTCATAGTTTCAGGTCTCAGATTTAAGTATTTAACCCATTTATACTTGATTTTTATGCACAATGAGAGATAGGAGTCTACTTTCATTCTTCCGCATGTAGATATCCAGTTTTCTCATTTATTGAAGAGATTGTCCTTTCCCCAGTGCATTTTCTTGGCACCTTTGTCAAAAATGAGTTCACTGTAGAGGCAAGGATTCATTTCTGGGTTCTCTCTTCTGTTCCATTGGTTTGTTTGTCTGTTTTTAGGCTAGTACCATGCTGTTTTGGTTACTATAGCTTTGTAGTGTAATGTATGCCTACAGTTATGTTCTTTTTGCTCAGGATTGCTTTGGTTATTCAGGGTCTTTTGCGGTTCCATATACATTTTAGGATTATTTTTTCTATTTCTGTGAAGATTGTCACTGGTATTTTGATAGGGACTGCACTGAATCTGTAGGTTACTTTGGGTTGTGTGGACATTTTCACAATGTCGATTCTTGCCATCTGTGACTGACTGCCTGCATTTGGACCTGCTGTGCCTGCTCATGGGTCACTTTCCTGCCCCAGACCTCCACCGTTCTTCCTGAAGGGGGGTTACCGGGCACATGAATTGCTCAGTAAATACTTGTTATATGAATGAATGCATAGTATTGTAATCCTGCCATCTTATGGATAAGGAAACTAAGGTCCACAGGGAGGCAGGGGGTTGTCCCAGATCCCCCAGGTCTGAGTCTGCAACCTGGAGTATTTGTTAGAGTGACTGACCCACCCGCCTCCCACAACTCCCAGCCAGAGTTGGAAGAAGCGAAGTAAATGTGAAAACCCAGCTTGTTGCTTAACGAACATGGGGTCAAGGCATCTCTCTCCCTCTTGGAGTGGCTATCAGGATTCAGTGAGAAAATGCAGATAAGAGTTTCAACAAGATCTGCCCATAGTAAAGACTGACAAATGTTCACTGTTATTATTATTACTTGTAAAATGGGCAGGGTAATACTCCCGCACCCCCACCTCTGAGGCTTTGGTCTATTAAAGACCAAAGATTTTGTGTGTATATGAAAAACTGGGCACATATGTTTTAACATGCCGATGGAATGCTATCAATAAAGGTCGTTAACAGGGTGGCAGTGAGGAAATAAATTCTACGCTTTCCTGCGTGGTGTGTCCTTGAACAGCAGTGCAGAAACTCCCTTTACTGATACTCATAGACTCCAAGGGGTAGGAAACATCCCAGGGAGTACCCGCTGCCACCACATTTTTCATCTAATTCTGTGACTGTCACAAAAGGCTTCATTTACCTACTACATGCAACTGGCTCCGTGTAACGGGAGAGGAAGATGGCATTCTGCAAAGCACAGCTACTCACTGGCTCAGGTCACATGGGCGGATGGACACAGAACTCTGGCCAACCCCAAGTGCAGTACTGTTTTCTGTTGCTACTCTGGGGGAGGAAGCGTTAGGAAAAAACCAGCATCACCTGTAAGCCAGACTACAAAATGGTGGAGAAGCCCAGAGAAGGCAGGAGAAGACATTCAGGATTATTTCTCTTTTAAAAATAAAATGGCATCATGGGAGAAATGTGACCTTATAAAAGTGGAGGATAGGCTAGGCGCAGTGGCTCAAGTCTGTAATCCCAGCACTTTGGGAGGCTGAGGTGAGAGGATTGCCTGAGTTCAGGGGTTCAAGACCAACCTGGGCAACTTGATGAGACCTCATCTCTACAATAAATAAAAAAATAAGCTGGGCATGGTAGCATGCGCGTATAGTTCCAGCTACTTAGAAGGCTGAGGTGGAAGGATCCCCTGAGCCCAGCAGGTCGAGGCTGCGGTAGCTGTGTGCATGCCAATGAACTCCAGCCTGGACGACAGAATGAAACTCCAACTCAAAAAAAAATTAAAAAATAAATAAAAGTGGAGGATAAAGTCATACTGACATGGGAAAACAGCAAGAAGGTATCTGAGGGTTAGATATACAGAGCTCATCTGTAATCTGGAGCAAGGTAGGAGGGGGAAGGGAAGAGGCCACACCCTTTCAGAGATTCTGAGAAACCAACAGATAAGAATCCAGGAAAACTCAAGTGCTGTACCCTTGACCCCATGTTTGTTAGGCAGCAAGCTGGGTTTTGACTTTTACTTCACTCCTTCCAACTCTGACTAGGAGCTATGGGAGAAAGGTGGCCCAATCACTAACAAATACTCCAGGTTGTAGACTCAGACCTGCCTGTTACTAGCTGGGTGATCTGGGACAACCCCCTGACTCCCTGTGGACCTTAGTTTCCTTATTCATAAGATGGAGGGATTATAATGCTATTCATTCATTCATATAACAAGTATTTATTGAGCAACTTCTGTGCCAGGTATTATTCTCAGTGTTGGGGATTTGGCAATTTTCAGAACAGATAAAAGTCTCTTTTTTCTCGGAGCTCACATTGGTACGGATGACTAGCAAGGTGGCTTCCCACCCTCCTTGGGCATGTGTTCCTCTGCCCGCTCAATGGTGCCTGTTGCCACAGTGCCTATATGCCAGACTTTTGGCCTGATGTCTGGAGATTGGAAGGGGCCTACCTTCTTGTTTTAATTGTTCTGTTTGCTTTTCCCCCTTTTAGTATAAATGTTATTAAATTGTAACGTCCACATAGGAAAGTGTACACACTGATGCACTTTGTCTGATGGACACACGTGTATAACCAGCATCCATCCCGAGTAATAAAACATGACCCACACTCAAGAAAGTCTTTATGTCCCTTCTGGTCCCTGACCTTCCCGCCACAGGGAAAACCATCTCCAGACTTCTGGTACCAGGTGTTAGTTTTTTTAGCTTTGTATATACCTTTTTGTAGGTTGGTTATTTCACTCAATGTTAGATTTCTAAGATTCCTTTATGTTGTTTCATGTTGTCATGGTTTATTCATTCTTGTTATTAGATAGTATTTCATTATGCAAACACGCAACAATTTATCTACTCGAGTGGGCATACGGAATATTCCTTGTTTGGGTTTATTACTAAAGAGTACTGCTGTGAACATGTGGGGATCTGTCTTTTGGCATCTGTCTTTTGATTCACTGTGAATATGTTGGCATTTCCCAGGGGAGTTGCATATACATTCAGTTATGTATATGTCATAGGATGCATATACATTCAGTTTTAGTAGATTCTGCTTGTTTTCCATGATGGTTATACAAAGTAGTTTCCCATTAGCGAGGTAGGATAATCCCAGGTGCTAAACACTCAATTTCTTACATTGTAGCCATTCTGGTAATTGTGTAATGGCATCACAGTGTCATTTTAATTTGCATTTCTCTGGCATCTAACAAAATTTACCAAGAGACCCTGTTGACAGTTAAACAGAGTCATTTGTCCACTCCGGGTCTTTTCCTCAAAGATATTGCTGCTTTCTTGGGCACCCCCTTTTTTTGCTAGTAGTAAAATCAAGAGGCATTACATCCAAACTTCTGCCACAGTCACCAACTAATTGTGTATTTCCCCAGTAAGAAGAAGAAAAATATCTCAGGACGATCTGTCAAGACCACCCGGGATCGAGCGCCTACGTATCAGTACAACATGAATTTTGAGAAGGTGGGCAAATGCATCATAATAAACAACAAGAACTTTGATAAAGTGACAGGTAGGTTGTGTGGGTGTGGATTAACCTTTCCTGTTCCGCTCTGTTTTCTCCAATGTGTATCAGGCATTCATCGGAGAAATGCTTTGTCCACCTACTGCAACAGACAGCCCTCTGAAGGTGCTACTTGTGGATCCGGGGGAAGGGATGCGGGTAAATGGAGAACTTTCAATCTAAGGTCCCACCATGTATATTGGCTGATGTGGACCAAGAATCAAGGGAGCTTTGGTTTTGCCTGGAGCTGAGAGTTAATATGAGGAGGCTCGACTGTAGTGGGTGGGCTGAGTTGATAGCCCCTCCTTGGAGTTTGCTGCTTATTTTATTGTGTCCTTGGAAGGCATTTTATATACTGATACTCAGAGCATTTCTGCTGGAGCTGACACCTGGCACATTTCATACCTGGCCTGCTGGTACCCACATGTGGTATTCAGCCCGGGATTGCTTATCCATAAACCTGTTGCATGATTCCCATAGGTATGGGCGTTCGAAATGGAACGGACAAAGATGCTGAGGCCCTTTTCAAATGCTTTCAAAGACTGGGTTTTGAGGTGGTTGTCCACAATGACTGCTCTTGTGCCAAGATGCAATCTCTGCTTAAAAAAGGTGAGCGCTTAACATTCCCCCACCGGTCTTCTTCCTGTACCCGAGAGGAGCAGGACCCAGGCTAGTCTCAAGAGGATACCTTTGCAGGACAGGAATTAGAGCGTGAGAAGCCTGTCTTCCTCCTGGCCAGTACACACCTGTCGTTGAATAGGCAGGTGTCTTTCAGGAAACTTCAATCTCTCCGTAAAAAGATGAAACCAACTAAATTCCAGCAAGATAAGTGGGTTCTGTATATACAGAATGCTCACAGTTTTAAAAGGCTCATTCCTGGGGAAGTAACAGGTCTATATATTACCCTGCCAGATCAGATTATAAGTGTAATCTTAGTGGCAGATAGAGAATAATAATCCCCACATGCTTTTGCACTGCTTTATTTTTTAGATAGCATGTCCGCAAAATTATCTTATTAGCTCATTAACACAACCCCACAATGTTGGCCAACAGAATATTGTCATGCTCATATTATAAATGTGGGGACAGAGTTTTAGGGAGGTAAGAGACATATTGAAGAGTACAGTTAGTAGGGACAGAACTGAAACCTGAGCTTTGGTCTTCTGACTCCAGGACAAATGTATTTCCTATTACGTCATATTACCTAACAGATACCACGTAGGGTACTCTGGTATTTAGGTCAAGTGTTTAAAAGTAATAGCCTACAAATGCATTAAACATGAACCCACAGGCAGAAGATGGGTATACAGTTCAAATCACTGCTGCTTTTCTTAGCTATGCAGCTAAAAAAGAAAAAGATCCCACCTTCTCTCTCTCTTTTTTTTTTAACTAGGCATCTTTTCCTAATTTCTTCAAATTTAACATTTATAAGCTAACTTTTTGTACCCAAGTAGGCCACATGGTAGACTAGACTAGAAATCAGGAGTCTGAGTTCTTGATCTGGCCAAAGTTCTAGAAGCTGGACAACTTGGGCAAGGCAACCATACTGTCCTTCTTCTTTTTTTTTTTTGCTTTTCTGAAATGTATAGCATGATACCAGCTCCTCCTATTTTGGGGAGATGGAGTAGGGATATTTGTCCTTGGAAGACATTTTATATACTGATACTCAGAGCATTTCTGCTGAAGCTAACACCTGGCACATTTCATACCTGGCCTGCTGGTACCCACATGTGGTATTCAGCCAGGGATTGCTTATCCATAAACCTGTTGCATGATTACCATAGGTATGGGCATTCGAAATGGAACGGACAAAGATGCCGAGGCCCTTTTCAAATGCTTTCAAAGACTGGGTTTGAAAGCATTTGAACTTAGCCAAGAGAAAGTTCGTAAGCATGCTTTGAGAAGTATAACAGCCTATGTAGGCATATGGACTTGTCCCAGTTGTAGTTTCTGTTCTTGTGAAAGGTGAATCATTCCACCCAAGCCCAGAGCATGTCTTATTCAGAGAATTCTTGTTTATTGTCCCATCAAAACAGTAAAGCAGTTATTTTTCTTGACCCGTATATGTAACCGATTCCAGTGAGGACAAAACTCCCATTTTCCACTTCTGTCCTAATTCATCTGATTTTAAAATAAGCTAGGAATCTCAACTCTGTCACCATCACCTTGTACCTCTATTATAAAAATTAATACAAAAATCACTTTGAGTACAGATGCACAGGTTTCTCAACAATTAGAATGAGAGAAGCCATACTTGCTCTGTCTGAAGCCAACCAGGCTTGACAGCAGCCTGGGCTTGAAACACAGCACCAAAGCCCGAACCAGTTGTGTCACCTTTCAGCAAGATTATTAAACCTCTTCCACATCCTCTCCCTTGTGCAGCTGTCAGGCTACCTCTGGGAATACTACATCTAAGGTCCCACAGGACTCGTGCTTTAAATGTTCAGTGTTCCAATTGTATACTTGCAGCTTCTGAAGAGGACCATACAAATTCAGCCTGCTTCGCCTGTATTCTATTAAGCCATGGAGAAGAAAATTTAATTTATGGGAAAGATGGTGTGACACCGATAAAGGAATTGACAGCCCATTTCAGGGGGGATAGATGCAAAACCCTTTTAGAGAAGCCCAAACTCTTCTTCATTCAGGTAATCACTTTTCAAAGCTAATACAGTTGCAAATGGGAAGCGACTACAGAGTGACTGGGATGGCATCATTTTTACAAATTTACATGCTGTTTCCGTTGGGGCATGCAAATCAGGGTTTTGTTTTTCTATCTCTGAATGGTTGGCATATGTGTTTGCATTGGATCACAAACTATGAAAGTTTCTGTAAGACATTGCACTACTTTTATTTGCATCGCTTAGTAATTCAACCCAACATTTATTCATTGGTTCATTCATCAAATTACCGTTGAGATTTTAGTATATGCCAGGTGGAGTTCTAGGCACAGGGACTCAGCAGAGAACAGCATGTATGTTTCTGTTCCCAACTCCACGGAGTGATCTCTGCTTTGCCCATTAGGCTTGCCGAGGGACAGAGCTCGATGATGGCATCCAGGCTGACTCAGGACCCATCAATGACACAGATGCTAATCCCCGGTACAAGATCCCAGTTGAAGCTGACTTTCTCTTTGCTTACTCTACGGTTCCAGGTATCAATAACATTGTCCACTTACCACACCATTCTATTCCACCGTCGAAATGCAGACTTGAGAACTTGATTCATTTTCTATGGCTCCAGCAATAAATGACTACCAGCACGATGGCTTAAAACACACAAATGTATTCTACAGTTCTGGAGGTCAGAATTCCAAAATGGGTTGGCAGGGCTAGGTTCCTTCTGGAGGTTCAGGGGGAATCCAATTCCTCACATTTGTCATGCATCTTAGAACCTCCCGCATTCCTTGGTTTGTGGAAAGCCAGCAACCTCACATCTCTCTGACCCTTCTTCCCTCCTCACAGCATTCCCTTTCTGACCACACTGGGAAAGAACTCCTATGATTAGACTGGCCCCACCTGGATAATCCAGGATCATCTTCCTATCTCAATCCTATAACCTTAAAGTCCTTTTTGCCATGTAAGGTTAAATTTTCACAGGTTCCAGGGTTAGGGCATGGACATCTCCGTGGACCATTATTCTAACAACCATAGAGCTGTATTCACTTTCCTCTCCAGGAAAGCTGAATTATCTTACATATTATTACTATTATTATTGATAATTATAAGAACAAACAGTTCTATAGCACTTTACAATCTAGAATGTTTTTCAGCTGGGCACGGTAGCTCATGCCTGTAATTCCAGCATTTTGGAAGGCAGAGGTGAGAGGATTGCCTGAGCTCCGGAGTTCCTGAGGCCAGCCTGGGCAACTTGGAGAGACCACATCTCTAATTTAAAAAAAAATTAGCCAGATGTGGTGGCGCATGCCTGTAGCTCCAACTACTTGAAAGGACAGGGCAGAAGGATTGCCTGAGCCTATCATGTTGAGGCTGCAATGGTCATGAGCATTCCACTGCACTCCAGCCTAGGTGACAGAGTAAAAAAAGTTAAAAAAAAAGAATGTTTTTCATGTGTAGGTAGTTAGAAAAGGTGTTGTTGCTGTCCTGGTTTTATAGATGTAAAAAAAAAAAAAAAATGAGTTTGAGTGAACTTAAGTGATATGCCCAAGGTCAGGTAGAGATTTCAGTCCACAGTAGAGCTGGGTCTCAGGATTTCTTTACACTGCAACCTGTATGCAGGCACTGGAAAACGCCAGTAATGAGCACACCATCTATTTATCAAGCAACATGTCTAACTGAGTCTGTTCAGTGAAAGTCCTTCCTTTGTTTTGGCTACAAACATCTCTAAGTTAGAATTTTCCCAACTATAATAGTAGTTTTGTCAAGTGCTTGGTGCAGAGGTATTGATTACAGTAAATAGGTCTGTGTGGTTGGAAAACCAGCTCTGGCAGGATCTATAGATGGGATTTGTGAGAGCGATAATTTCACAAGTTTTAAGGATGGTGTAAGATAAAAAAATAATTTGGTCTTCCTGTTCTAGAGAGGAGGCGGTGTAATGGGGGCATATGTCTTTGTAAACAAACCGGTGGCAGAGTTGTAGGTGCTCCAAGCAAGTTCTGGAAGAGCTCAAGGAGGAAGGGTGAACTCTTCAAGGAAGGCAGGTGATAGCAGCTACTCTAAAAAGCAGCCTCTGTAACTGAGTCCTAAAAATTCAAACAGACAGGGGTAAGACAGAAGCCTGAGAGATCAAATTACCCGAAGCATTTGGTAAAACTCAAGACCAGACCACAGGGAATATCAATCTACTTGGGTTGCTATAGCAAAATGCCCTATTCTGAGTGGCTTAAGCAACAGAAATTTATTTATCTAAGTTATGGAAGCTGGGAAGTACAAGATCAAGGTGCTGGCGGATTTGGTTTCTGGTGAGGGCTCCCTTCCTACCTTGTAAATGGCTACCTTCCTGCTGTGTCCTCATATGGCAGAGAGAAAGAACAAGAATAAGTGTGCTCTCTGGTATTTCTTCTTATAAGGACACCAATCCTTTTGGATTTGAGCCCCACCCCTGTCACCTCATTTAACCTTAATTACCTCCATAAAGGCCTTATCTCTGAACACAGTCACATTGTGGGGTAAGTCTTCAACAAATGAATTTTGAGAGGACACAGTTCAGTTTGAGCCATAGCACAGGGCTTGGCCCAGGCCAATCCTGGACAGGTAGGCAAGGGTCCCTATCATGGTGGGCCCTGTGTACTATGCGAAGCAACCTGAAACTTTCCCCTGATAAAGAGGTGTAAAGGAACTGTTTTGGGTCATGGAGTCTTGGGCCGAGATTCACACCCCCTCCCCCTTAAGCAGCAGGTCTCCTGGCTCAGCCCAGCAGGCAGTTGGGCATCCAGCCACCTTTCACCTCTGGATTTCTTTAGCAGGATCCAGCTCTAATTCACAGCAGGAACACAGCTCAAAATTCTTCAAGATTCCCGGTAAATTCCTTCCCTAGTCTTGTATTAGAAAGTAGCACTGACCCCAAAAGGATGACAAGGAGTTCCAGAGTTATGGAGTTATTCTCCCACATTTGTTTTGAAAGTCTTAATGTGCAGATTTGTTTCATACTCACTGGCATACCAGATATGTATCATGTGGCACTTCATCAAAACTAATGCCAGAGAGTTCCCTGGCAACATACTCTAATGCTGGCCCTAAGTGATGTTGGCTACCATTGGATTTTTGTGCTGGAACACCCAGTGCATTTTTGAGCAACTTTGTGCAACCTTCTAAACCTAAGATGTTTTCTCTCTGAGCACATCAGCATAATTCTCATTAGTGATGTATGTGCAGAGTAGAATGAAATAATTTCCAAAAAGCAGGTTTCATGAAAGCTCCAAACATGGAAAGCTCATTCTCATTGGTGAGTGGAGCAGCTACCGAAATTCGCTGATTTGATCTTCTCCTTTCTCTCCTATTAAAGGCTATTACTCATGGAGGAGCCCAGGAAGAGGCTCCTGGTTTGTGCAAGCTCTCTGTTCCATTCTGGAGGAGCACGGGAAAGACCTGGAGATCATGCAGATCCTCACCAGGGTGAACTACAGGGTAGCCAGGCACTTTGAGTCTCAGTCTGACGACCCGCTCTTCCACGAGAAGAAGCAGATCCCGTGTGTAGTTTCCATGCTCACCAAAGAACTCTACTTCAGTCAATAACTATAACTATTCCAGGGGGCATTCTAACTGAGAAACTCCGGATCACTTGTTGATGAATCCGCTTTTTTCTTTTTACACTTTTGAAATATCTGGAAATTCTACAGATTTTAATTTCAGGAAAATTCATTGATTCAACAGGGAAGAAACTTTCTGGTGCTGTCTTATATTCTCTGACTTTTCAGAGACTTTTTTTTTTACAATATTATTCATTTGATGACTGTGTAATTTTCTCTTAAAATTAGCTTTCTCTTTGTATGTTTTTCCCTTGTTGTCACACTCACTACATGCAACAAAAGTGACCTCTGGAAAAGGCTCTTAGCTGTGTCTACTGTAGTTGGTGATGACACTGGTACAGTCAGACATGTATTTGCACTTGGCAAAGAGAATCCCAGTGTTTGACCAAAGATCAGCCAAAGAGATATTTTTTGGCCTGTATTGCAGAAAGTGAATATTAAGTGTGATTTGTGTGATTTCCATGGGCTTAGGGCATATTCTCATGCAAAAATTTCCAGATAAGTTAGAGAAGATAGAATTTAATGACTCTACTATGTATCAGTCAGGATCCAGTCTGGGAAATAGAAACCACTTGTGTTTCGATAGAGGGAACTGAATACAGGAAGTTGATATACCTAGATGATGAAAGAGAAGCTAAATAGCAAGAAGCTGTTACCATACTCAGGGCTACAAGGATAATGGAAAGAGGTGTGGGTGAGTTCAGAAGCTGGGATCATCCGGAGGAGTAGCTACCATGGTGGGGGCTGCCTGGTGGGGCAAGGGCCACCAAGGGATTGTGGGAAATGGAGCCATGGCAAGGACGGAGCCACTGCCTGTTACGGAGGCAAGGCCAGAGCTGAGTCAGATACGGAGCACACCCTGGCCTTACCACTCCTGCCCTTGAGTCTTCCACCCGTACCTCACCATTCCAACCCTACTCGGAAGCCACCTGGCGAGAGCCCATGGAAGTGTGTTTTGCTGTGATACAGAGCACAGAAGGGATAGCGAGGCAGGGAGGATAAAGAATGGATGTCAGCCTGGCCCATAATGTGAATATAAGTAATCATATTCCCTGATGTTCAACAATTCATCCACTCAGTCGTTTATTCACTGGGTTGTCAGGTAATCTATGTATGTGCAAAATAATCTGTTATAGCTTTATGTGCAAGATAATCTGTTTTAGCTTTAAAATATTTCAGAATTTAGTAGATTATTCTAAGCCTTATTCTGAATAAATATTTGTTACTTTTAATTCTATAAGTGGGGAAGAGTTTATTGCAAAGATTTTTGGTACCTTGTTTTCAAGGTGGTGTTATCTCTTGACAAATTACTATTTTTTTCTGCCTAATAATTGGTTAACACACGAATGTTCGTATTTATTGATTAAAATGTGGTTGCTCAATTTCTAACCAGTCCAGTTTGCTTTCCCTTCTGAAGTTATTTAAGGTGATGAGGAAATGTAGAAAACAGGATAAGAATTTACACTACTGTCTTGACCTCAACCAAAAATATAATACATAATTTTTTGAAACTTTTGCGCTAATAAAACAAGTAAATAATCTCTTGGGAAGCTGAGACTTTCTACATAAAGGGTTAATCAGTTTACAAAGATGTTGGCGGTGAACTGCCATTTATTAATTTGGCAACAAAATCAGATGGCATAAAAAGTTTCTTTTTTCAAATAAGGAACAAATTTAGGGCCAGTTCATAGACTTGTCCCTGGTTTCTTGCCATTTAAAATATTCCAAATGTTCAACACTTAAGTGGAGATCGTGAATCAAGAGTCACCAAGCATCAGCCTGACTCTTCCCAGAATTCACATGTTCTTCTTTGGAAAATAGGCTATCCTATTAAGGTTCCTATCGTAGACATAAACATGCCTAAGTGCATTGCAATTTTAAGTGAAAACTATAGCACCTTAGTGATTTGCCTTGTACACATCATTAGAGGGAAAGACATGATCCCAAGTATCAGAGTTCATTTTTTTCTTAATTCTCTGAGAAGTTATAGGTTATAAATAATGAATAGTATCTTATATCCCTTAGACCAGAGATTTCATTCACTGTTAAGATCTTCATCTTTAGCCGGGCTCGGTGGCTCAGTCTGTAATCCCGCGCCTTTGGGAGGCGAGGTGAGTGGATTGCCTGAGCCCGAGGGTTCGAGACCCACCTGAGCAGGGTTCGAGACCCCATCTCTACAATAAAATCAAAAAATTAGCCGGTTGTGGTAGCGCGCGCCTGTAATTCCGGCTACTCGAAAGGCTGAGGCGGAAGGATCGCCCGAGCCCAGCAGGTCAAGGCTGCGGTGGCTGGGAGCGGCCACTGCACTCCAGTCTGGGCAACAGTGAGACTTCGACTCAAAAAAAAAAAAAAAAAAAAGATCTTCATCTTTGAATACTTCTATGGGCAAACACTTGTTTATCAAGATCAGAAATTCTATTTCCAACTATATATGTGATTGTTCATACTTCCATTCTGAATCTTTACCATCTTTTCTTTTTATTATAATTTTTATTTAAAGATGTGGGGTACAACTCAGGATTAGGTACATAAGTGGTCATCATGCAGGTACAGTTTGGGTACCCTTAATGATTTTATGTGCCTCTCCCTCCCTCCCCTGGCTGTGTCCCACTACTGCCAATTGCTTTCTTATAGGATTATAAATGTTCAGCGTCCGCTTATGACTGAGTACATGTAGTACTCAGATCTTTGTTTCTGTGATAAATTACTGTGTATTATAGACTCTAAATCCATCCAAGTTGCTGCAAACTCCATAATTTTGTTTTTCTTTATGGCTGCATAATATTCCATCATGTATATGTATCACATTTTCTTTATCTAGTTCACTTTTGATGGGCAGCATGGTTGGTTCCATGTTTATGCTATTGTGAATAATCCTGCAGTAAAAATGCATTTACCATCTTTTCATACCTCCAAATTCTGATGACAAGTGATCCTAAAGGAGAACTCTGTCCTGGTGAACATACATTCCTAGTCCTGACTGTTGTTTAGAACCCAAATCCCCATGCAGGAATGTCAGACAGAGCACTCCTCTTGTCCTGTGAAGACAACACAGTCGGTGGCGTCCTCACTGGCATAACGGGTTCAGTTCTGGGATTCTGTCTACTTTTTAAAATTTTCCTCAAGGTGCCACTAGGCTATTTAAAGTTTTAGCTATTAATATAGTCACAGACAGTTTTAGGCTCTGCCCTGATCTTTTTCTGTGAGCAAATTTCCATAAGCCATCATAAGCCCATTATGCTTGTGAATTACTCAAAATAGGTCTCAAAATAAAGTGCTGGGGCTCATTGTATTCACACGATTTATAACCTAGAAGAAACCAAGGCCTCTGAGAAAGAATATGACATCCACCGAAAGGTTATAGACACTGGTTGACAAATCCTTTAATTTGTCTGGACTTGGAGTGCATCACCTGAGATCTTTTGTTGCCAGTTACTCTGGTGACCAAGGATTGCCTTTTGACTTCCCAGACACACACCCTTTCCTCCAGCTCTTCATCTTTCAGGTCCTCTTCCAGAAAACATCTGGCTAGGTAAGAAGCTGTGCTGGTCACCAGTTTATAGCAGCAATTCATCTGCTGGGGGACAAATAGCAGTAGCCCTGGTGTCACTCATTTCTGGAGGAATATGATCCCTAGGAGGTCTTCAAAGAGATGTAGAGCGAAACGTATTTTTACAGATTGCCTTGTACATGTCTTCATGTCCTGCGACAGAGTGAATACATGGACTGGCAGCGTCAGCATCCCCTGGGAGCTGGTCAGAAATGCAGATTCTCAAGCCCCGCCCCAAACCTACTCAACATAAATCTGCATTTTAACCAGATTCCCAAGTGACCCATGTGGACATGATAGTTAAGAAGTTCTGCTTTGAGGATGAGGGCCATGCATATATATGTTTTTCTCTCCCTTCTGCACTGAACATGGAGCTGATAGCATAGTATATGACTTAAAAAGATTTCGTTAAAAAAAAAAAACACATGTATTTTGGAGCTTTCATGGAAGACAGGTTTTCAAGCTTTCTTAAGCCTCAACAAAATTTTCTTTCAGAACTCCACAATATCCTTAAGTTACCTGATACACTGTTTACTTTCTATGCCCCTCTCCCTTTTAAATAAACCTTTACTGAGTGATATAATAGGATTGTTTATATGTTTTCAAAGTGTCTGCAAATGTGAATTGTGGCCTTTAAAATATCATAAACAGAATGGAATTAAGGGAGCTATTCCTTGTGTATTTTCATTGGTCTGTTGTGCATTAAAACTTAGGAGTTTGTCTCTTCTCATCTGTCCCGTCCTTAGAGCCCAGTGGACACCTGGAGAATGATGATCTCTCCTTGCCAGTGTGCCCTTGGGCCGTGAATTGCCTTTTTGATGCACCTCAGTCCTTTGTTTTGGATCAGATGGCAAATTATTCCTTTTGATTCATAAATCATTAACAGACACACCAAGGACATATTTGGAAAACCCAGTCACCACCACAGTACTGATGTGGACATGGAAACTCCATTAGCTTGTAGATTCACACATGAACAGCCTCTAAAAGTATGCGATGGACATTTGAAAATGCAAAAGCCAGATATGATGAACTGGTTTTGGCATGAACTTTGGTTTATATGGCACCATAAATATTTATGGCATTACGGTTTTCTAACAAATGTGTTTTAAGCATTCAAAACCAAACTATGTCAAAGGATATAAATTTGGAAGGCATGTGGAGTTATGGCTGCAGATATACAAGGCTGAGCATTTCTTGAGTTTTGATAGTCTGACCCAAACAAAGAGCATGAGATTCAGGGAAGATTTGGGAAAAAGAGGGAAGTGAAACAAGTAAGACAGTTTCGGTCTCTAATGCTAGTTCCCGCTTCAGTTGCTTAAAGCAGGGCTCAATTGACACAGCATTAAACTTTTCAGCAAAGGTGCTTTTAACCATTCGTGTTTAAAAATTAGGCTCTGAATCAAATCCATGTTCTAATCCCAGTTCTGCCATTTGACCATTTAACTCACGTAGCCGTAGGCAATCCTTCAGTTTTCTCATCTATATATGAGGACAGTAATGTCGTGAAGATTAAATGAGATTATGTAAAGCGCTTAGTGCAATGCCTGGCACAGAGTGATCAATAAGTTGTCAATATCAAAGACGATGATGATGACATGAGGCTGACGGAGAAGCAAGAAGGAAAGGCTCTCCGCTGGACCCTCCCTTCACTCCTTCTGCCCCAGAAACTGTTCCTTGATCATGTCTTCTGGTCTAGGCTTTCAAATGGAGGTCTTCCAGAAGTACCAGGATTATACGAAAGATTGATTTATTCAGCAAGTGTTGGAAGAGTTCTGCTAAATGTTAAATGTCATATCAGAGATGGGGCTAAAAAGACCAAGATAAGACGCTGAAGGAGGTGAAAAATCAGTGCAGTGAAATCCTGGTTACGGCAGAGTGTGTGCACATTACCCTGGAATACAGATGAGGAGTGTCCTTCTGTTCAGAGATTCAGAGAGGAGTTCGCAGAGGAAATATCCTCTTCCTTTCCAGTCTCCCAGGAAGGCTGTGGGGAAGGCAGTGGAGAGGAAATTAAGATGAACAGGTAGGAAATAATTTCTTCACTCTAGTGATTCTCAAGTTTTTAGGTTGCCTGAGAATTCCTGGAAGATCTTTTTATGAAGCAAATCGCTATGCTCCACCCACTCCTC